TGGGTGGCCCTGCCTCAGGCAGCAGCGAGCCACCGGGCCTTTGCACCGAGCCGGAGCCCCGCTCGTCACCCGTCCCGGCAGCAGCACCGCGAGCAACGGGACCGGTCGGTAAAGCCATGCTGCAGGAGCGGTGACGGAAACCTGCACCCCTGGGGTGGGGACGCCTCCTGCCCGTCCCCCCCGCCCCCCGGCATCCCACAGGATTTGGTGAAGGATACGGGCATGCAAAGCCCCACGGGGCCAGCTGGGAAAAGAAACTTTCTGGGAACACATCACCTGCTAGGAATTAACTTGTAAAGCCTGGGCAAACGCCCTGTCCCGGCTGCGCCTAAGCGGCTTAGGGAGAGGGTCAGGTGCTGAAGGCAGCTCGGCGAGCCAGGAACCGGCTGTCCCCCCCGGCCCCCCTCGGGCTGGGCAGCCTGCCGGGGCAGGACCACGGCTCTCAGCAGCTCTGCCCTGCACCCAGGGCTCGGCCAAGCTCTCCATCATCAAACGCCGCACGGTGCCGGCAGTGCCAGGCCCCCCGCCCGTGCGCTCCCCCTCCCCAAATCACCGCACCGAGCTGGGCCAAAACCAAAACCCAAGGAGCGCTGCCAGGGAAAGCGGTAATGGGGCAGAGACGCCAGGTAGGACCTGGCAGGACCCTCACTGCCTCCCCTTCCCTGGGGTCCTGGGGGACAGAGGGAGCAGATGCTGTTGTTGCTGAGCCGGTACATCCGTTCTTCCCAATAAACTTTTCATTGCCAGCCCCCCCAGCCGGCAGCCCCCTTCCCAAGGGGTTCCGACTGCCACCCGCACACCTCCCTGCCGGCATGCGTCCCCACGCGGGAGGGGACGTGCCACCAGCAACCTGGGCACAGGACCCTTCTGGCTGCTCTCACCCCTGCAGGAGCAAAGCCTGTCGGCAGGAACACACCTCCCCAAAATAATAATTAAAACCCAGTGGGGGCCCGGGTTGGAGAAGGTGAATCTCCTCGCATTAATCTTCATTAGAGCAGACTTTGCCATATGCTCCTGCCCGCACGGGCAGCGCGGTGCCGGCAGAGGAACAGGCGAGCTGGGAAAGCTGCTGAGCTCAGGGGAAGCGGGGCCAGGGCGGCCCTGGCCAGCAAGGAGCAGCGCTGGGCAAGGAGGTCCCAGCTGGCACCCAGTGCCTGCCCGAACACCCCCAGGCAAATGGGCTGCACCCCAGTATAGCCTGGGCAAAGCTGTGCTACGGCGCCCGGTGCCAACGGGACCGTGATGCTCGGAGCCTGTGCAGCCTGGCCAGGCTGCACCCCCCAGCCCCAGCAAGCAGCCGGTGTCCAGGTTTGGAAGGGGGGTGATGCTGGGGTACCCCCATGCCCCAGTGGGGCTGGCCCGGGCCCCGCTTCGCTCTCCCGCTGCAAGGAAGCCCTGAGCCGGAGGCGCAGGCGGTGTCGGGAAGGCTCGTGCTGACAGCCCGGCAATAACTCAGTGGAAGGAAAATACCACGCGCCGTAGGATAAACAGCTCAGCCAGGGGACGAGCGAGCAAACAGCCTCTGCCCAACAGCACGGCTCCCTTCCCCGGCCAAAGCCAGCCCCATCGCGGCACTGCCCGGTCCCCAGGGTGCTGGGCAGCAGCGCTGCGTGCCCGGCTGGGCTGTGCCACCCTGGGGAATGGCTCTTTGGGCTAAAACTGCCCCAGCCCAGCTCCAGTGGGGATGGGGACGGTGCTTTGGCTCCCCAGCCCGCACGGCTCAGCTCCCCGAGCAGCGCCTGCAGCTGTATAAACAGCGTGTCTTACAAATCCCCGTCCCTCGCCCCAGCAGCCCGTTAGGAGAGGTGGAGCAGGCAGCCTGGCTGCTCCGAGGGATATAAATAACCAGGGCTGTAGCGGGCCTGTTTGTGCCCGTAACCATGGCAGGGTCCGTCCCGTGCCACGCTCCCGAGAAGCAGAAAAGCACCGAGTGCTTCCCCCACGGTCACCCGGTCAGGCTGGAGCCGCAGCCGGACAGACAACCGGCCAGCCCAACAACGGGGCTCCCAACCGCGGCACCACAAACCCCAGCAGGCGCTCGGAGCCCGACCCAGTCATCAGCGTGGGGAGAGGAAAGGGGCTGCTCCGAGAGCCCTCCCTGCCCCCGGAGCCGGGGTCCCACGGGAATACGGCAGGAGGGGGTGTTCCCTCCTAGAATCATAGAATCACTTTGATTGGAAAAGACCTTTGAGATCATTGAGTCCAACCTTTAACCTAACCCTGCCATCCCACCACTACACCC